GAATCTTGGGATCAAAAGGTATAAACATTTTTTTAGCCACTTGATTTATTCTAAATTGCTTTCTGAAATAGTTGTACCAATTCATAACTCCAGTAACAATGCATTACTGTGCCTGTCTTTCCACAATCCTAATACTGACTATTCCCATTTTTTGTCATCTTTTCCAATTTTCTGGTTATGAGTACCTCAGAGTTATTTTGATTTGCATTTCTTATTAACAGCCGACATTTATACAGTGTCTACTATATGCCAAGCATTGTGCTAAGTACTTTACAAATATTTTCTCATTTGATCCTCACAGCAACTCTGGGAGGTAGTTTCTATTATTATCCCCATTTTATAGACTTTCCCAGGGTCACACAGCACTATCTACTTTGCCACCTAACTGTTAATAATAGCAGTGGCAGAAGCAGTAGTAGTAGTAGTAGTAGTAGCAGTAGTAGTAATGTGGAACAGTTTTTTCATATAGTTCTTGATAGTTTTCTATTATTTTGAGTTCTTTTCACAACTGTTTGTTCATATCCTTTTATCACTTATCTCTTGAGAGATGGCTTTTGGGTTTATATATTTCTATTAATTTTCTATATGTTTCTATATATTTGTAGATGATGGAGTGATTATAAAAAAAGAAAATTTGTTAGGAAAAGGTAAAAAGGAGTAATTATAAAATGGGGTGTGAAAGGAAGAACTAAATACAGAGGAAGCAGATGGGGGTGGTGGGCTGGTAATGTTGGAACCTTACTCTCATTTGGGTTGAAGAGAAAACAACACGTGCATCTGGAAGGGTGTAGATGTCTTCTGAACATGTAGAAAGGTTGGAAAACTGGGGAAGAGGGTGGGGGAGGGACTTTTAGCGGGGTGTGTGGATTGGGATTTTGGGGGGTGGGGAGAAAAGGTGGGGGGGGATTTTAGAGGGGTGTGTGGATATACCATATTTATAATTTTATCCCATAGAGGCCAGAATTGCTTCCACTTTCTCCCCCACTTTTTCTTTAATCATCAATATTTCCCTATATACTGGCTCTTTCCCTGCTATCTATAAACACAACCAAGTCTACCCCATCCTTTAAAAAATCCTCTCTAGTTTCCACCATCCCTACTAGCAATTGTTCAAGATGGTTCAGAATCTGTCTCTGGCACACACTGACTATCTAAATCACTCAACCTCTCACTGCCTCAGGTGTGCCTATCTTCATTGGTAAAGGAAATTTCACAGAATCATAAATTTATAGCTGGCAGAGACCCTATAATTGGGTACAATTTTCTCATTTTGTAAATGAGGAAACTGGGTCGCAGCGAGTTTAAGTAACATACATTGAGGCTGTAAGCACCAAAGGAAATGCTTTGATGTAAAAAACTAGGGTTAGGTTTTGTGTATAAATGGTTTGTTGTTGGGGAGGAGAGAGAGTCAAAGAAAGGATAACCATCCAGTTTCCTTTCTCCTTTCCCTCCCACTTTAATTACTATTCAAGCCCAATTGGTTCTTCTTCAGCCTAAGACAAGTTATATTCAGCATCCACATCATTTGTGGTCAGCAGGGTCCCAAGAAAATCTAGATTTTCATCCTAGGAGGTCATTTTATCCAAAGACCTTTCTGCTGACAGTGTCATTAATATGGACAGTTGAATTCATGTTCTCTGACTCTAAACTCATGCTCATCCTACTCATTGAGCATAAGTTCCTTGAAGGCAGAGATTAGCTTTCTGTTTGTCTTTGTATTTCCAGTACCTAGCATACGGCACTTCAAAAATGCATGTCAATTGTTAAAAAAAAAAAAAAAAAAACTATGTATCTGAGATACTAAACCCTTATTAGAAATATTTGACCCAATTTTTTCCTGTTTTTTCTCTTTCAATTCTATATTATTGATAACATAAGAAGTGACTTTTGTACATTTTGTAGTCTGCAACTTTATTAAAGCTATTAATTTTCTCTATTAATTTCTTTGCTGATTCCCTAGAATCCTCTAGGTCATCAGAATGAGAGAGACTTCTAACAATAATAATGCTGCTAAAACCTAAATGTTGAAGCATTTCACTCATTCTCTTTCCATTAAGAGTCCTATTTGCTCTGCACATAAGATCTAGTTAGGGCTAAGTCCTGGGAAAGTCTATCCTATAATGCTTTGGCTTGATTCATCTTCATACTGCCACTATAGAGATTATTCACTTACAGCTTAGATTGTGACTCATAGAAGTCTCCACAGAGGTGAGGAATAAAAATTTACAATATAAATCATATGGGGAATCTATGTTCACTTCCTGTAAACTAAAGAAATGCTAAATACTGCAAAAGACAGAATGCATTGACAAAGTGACTTCAAATTAGAATTCAGAATTAACCACATTTGTGTGGTATTTGATGGTGGGACATTTTTTGGGTTGCTAGCCCCCTTTCAACTCTTCTACATTGTGATAGTTATGCTCTCTCTATCTATCAATCTCATCTTCTGCTTTCCCCTTCTCTTTTTGCCTTCAACCTTCTGCAACATCAAGGTCTCTTCCAATGAGTCCTGTCTTTTCATTATGTGGCCAAATTATTTAAGCTTCAGCTTTAGTATTTGCGCTTAATCAATTTAAGTATTGAATGACTTAGTTGCCTTGATATTCAAGAGACTCTCAAAAGTCTTCTGCAATACCACAATTTAAAAACATCAATTCTGTGGTGCTCAGCTTTCCTTTTAGTCCAATGCTCACAGCCATACATTGCTAGTGGAAAAAGCATAGCTTTGACTAGACTTATGACTAGCCTTTATCAGCAAGGTGATGTCTCTGCTTTTTAGTATGCTGTCCAGGTTTGCTATAGCTTTCCTTCCAAGGAGTAAGCATCTTTTAATTTCATGGCTGCGGTTACCATCTACAGTGATCTTTGAGCCCAAGAATATAAAATCTGACATTGTTTCCCATTTCTTCTCCCTCCACTTGCCAGGTAGTGATAGAAACAGTTGCCAAGATTTTAGGGGTTTTTTTATGTTAAGCTTCAGGTTAGTTTTTAGACTGTCCTCTTTCATCTTCATTGAGAGGCTTCTTAATTCTTCTTTGCCATCAGAGTAGTATTATCTGCATAACTGACATTGTTGATATTTTTCCTGACAACCCTAATTCCAGTTTTTGATTTATACAGCCTGGCATTTCACGTGATGCATATAAGTTAAATAAATAAGGTGATAACATACAGCCTTGTATTCCTTTTTCAATCTTAAATCAATCAGTTGTTCCGTGTTTGGTTCTGTTACTTCTTGACTCACATACAGGTCCTTCCTCAGGAGACAAGTAAGATGATCTGGTTCTTCTATCTGTTTGAGGACTTGCCACATTTTGTTGTGATCTGCACAGTCAAGGGCTTTAGTGCGGTCAATAAAGCAGAAGTAGATGGTTTTCTGGAACTCCCTTGCTTTCTCCATAATCCAGCTCATGTTAGAAATTTGATCTCTAGTTCCTCTGCCTCTTTGAAAACCAGACTATGTTTCTGGTAACTCAGTTCACATATTGCTGAAGACTAACATGCAGAATCTGGAGCATAACCTTGCTGGTGTGTGAAACAAGTACAATTGTTCAGTAATTGTTTTGCTTTGCCCTTCTTTAGGATTGGGACATAAACTGATCTTTTCCAACCCAGTGGCCACTGTTGTGTTTTCCAAATTTGCTTCCTGCTTGATGGTCAATAAGAGTACTGTCTCAAAGTGCCCAGTTATAAAAGTGCTGAGTCACACACACGTGATCAGGTAGGGGCACGAAAGACAGCAGTGAGCGTGCCCACCAATAGCCCTGGTTACAGTCTGAACAAATAAAGCAACAAAAAAGGTGACATACTATCCACAGAAGGAGAATTGTAGGGAAAATATCAAGGTGCCCCAGAGTGATTAACAAGTTCAATGGAAGAAATAAAAGAAAGAATAAAGAGCAATTTTGGAACTAAAGGAAGCTCCCCCAGACTATTTTCCCAATTCTGATTTACATTGGTGGAGTATGTCCCCAGAGAGTAATTACTTCTACTCCTTCAGATCCAAGTAGTAAGCCTTAGAGTCAATGGGGTCTCTAGTACTGTTGTTCATAAGTCTCCATTGCTTAGAAAATTAACATTTTAAAAGGGCATTTACTAAGCAGGTTTGTCAAGACAGTTGGTGTAGAAATATCTTCCTAAACAAGGAGCACATTTTCTCCACGCACACACAAGATTCCTGGGGAGAATGAGCTCAGACTTAGAAAGCACATGTAGCCAAGGAGTAAAGTCACATGTCTTGGTTATTGGCTATCCTTTTCTCCTTTCCTGGTGTTCTCGTGATGTTCCTTTTAGATGTAGGTACCTATTGAACTCCATGGATTATCAAGCCCTGAAGTTGCCACTCATTAGAATTTTTCTTGGTGTGCTTCTTAGCTCCAACTGCTGTTTTAGTGGACATTGCAACCAACACTAATGTGAATTCCACATTGTCTGACCTTAATTAATTAAATAGAAAGTCAAAATCTCACTATGTACCTCCCTGCCCCCTCCCTGCCACCCCAGAAATTCTCTCACAGAAGTCCTTTAAGGGCTGTATTTGACTTCCACTTGAAAGACTGGTTTAGTTGATTCTCTTTGGCCAATCATGAGATATGAAGCTTTAGCACTCTCCACAGTCTCAGAAATTTGGCTTCTTGTGGGTTCATCATTCGTTACCCTGCATCCCTCCTTTGTTTCACTCAGATGTTGATAGTTTCAATAACTATGTTCTGTAAGTCTTTGAATCATTAGGATGAATCCATTTTTCTTTTCTGCTATAATGTTCCAAGGACACTGGCTGCCTCCATCTTCCTGGTTAAATTACAAGTCTTGAGAGATTAAACAGTAGCAAAGAAACATCCATTATTCACATGTCTAGTGGAGGAATACAGCTCTGTCACTTGATCTGTGCAGATGGGACTGATGCCACCCAACTTTGTGAGACACCTCTGATATTCTAGCTGGAAACTTTAATTATGCTGTGAGCTAACACCCGTTTATTCTGTTTTTGCTCTCAGGTGACCTCATTCATTTGCCTCCTTATCTTCGAATGGATTTTTTGTTAAATCGAGGGGCCCCAGGCATCAGCAGAGACCAGAACTTAGGACAGGCTTGCTTGGAACCTCAGAAAAGTCGAACCTTGAAGTGTTCCACAGTCCTGGAGCCCATTCCAATGGAAGCATCATCCACAAGAGAAGGACAGTCATGGCAAGCTGGTGCTGTGGCCCCATTACCTCAGAGAGAAGGAGTAGATCTGGGACAGGCAGCTAAAATGAGCAGCTCTCAAGAATCGCTGCTGGACTCTCGAGGCCACTTAAAAGGCAACAATCCCTATGCCAAATCTTACACCTTGGTATAACAAGCAGAGTATAACTGGACAGTGGCTGTAAATACAATTAAAAACAAATTCAATTAAAGCTACTTTTTTAAAAAAAAACTGGATTCTGATATTTATAATTAAAGAAAATTGTCAAAATATTTTAAAAAAAGGTAAAAAAGAAAAAAAAAAGAAACCACAGATACTTCAAAGACTCCCCTGCTTTTTTTCTGTCTGAGTGTGAGCTTCATCTGACTGGGCATCTGATGTTTTTGGGTAAAAGAAGTCCGGTTTTCTGATCTTCACAGGATGTTGAATTTTTACTGATTTTTCTACAAAGTGCATGGGGGACAAACAAAACATTCTGACTGGAAGTCAATCACACAAGATTAAAGAAAAACAGGGGGTAATCACCTTATTTGTGGATTTTAAGGGACATTGATTTTAGGGGAAGGGAAAGTCTTTAATCATGTTTGCACACTTTTTTTTTCCAATTAGAAAATGGGTCCTCAATTGAGCTTTTTGTTGTTGTTGTTGCTGTTGTTACCGTTAATTAGAATGAGTCTTGTCTGTGAAGGGGGGGAGGGGAGTGTTAATTTGTTTTTCCTTTTTGTTTGTTTTTTAGTTTAACAAGAAACTTTGCATTTTGTCTAATTGAAATAAACAAAAAAAAGTTGTCTGTTTCTGATGTATGCTGGCATTTCCTAGTTATACTTCTATTTTAAATGGTTAAGACTAAATTTGGCACCTCATTTAGTGACACAAAATGAAAAGTAACACTAATTGTACACTCTCTGGGTACTACTGTGATCTATAACCAACACAGAGAAAATGCAATCCCTGACATCAAGTAATTTGCACCATGCCAAAGGGCCCTGTATTGAACTCCTAACACATTTGAGGATTAGAAGAGCTAAGACAGTTGGGCAGGATGGGCAAGGTGCAGATCTGCCCATAGGTGTAACACAAAACTACTCCCTCTCTGACTATGTACACCAAAGGCTTTGAATCTTTTTGTAGCTAATGTGATTGGATTTAATCACAAAATAAATCATGCTCTGGTGAGCAGAATTTCCTAGAATTAATAAAATGTGTATTTATAAAAATATTTAAAATTATTCTTCATTGACCTCTCTTTTCCCATTCCATATTGCTCCCTAGGCATAGGATTGCCTTTGCTACCCTTAGTTCCTTTTTCTTTTTTTTTTTTTAAAAAGAGGCAATTGGTATTAAATGACTTGCTCAGAGTCACACAGCTTTTAAGTGTCAAGTGTCTGAGGCCAGATTTGAACTCAGGTCATCCTAACTCCAGGGCCAGTGTACTATTCACGGTGTCACGGTGTATTACACTTAGTTTTAACTATAATAATTAAGTATTCTGAAGCCTCAGCCTCAGACACTTACTAGCTGTCTGACCCTGGACAAGTCACTTAATGCATTTTGCCTCAGTTTCCTCATCTGTAAAATGAGCTGAAGAAGGAAATGGACAACCACTCCAGTATCTTTACCAATACAACCTCAAATGGAATCATGAAGAGTCAAACACAACTGAAACGCCTGAACAACAACATTCTGAAGCCTCACTGTTAACTAACTATATTCCTATCCCTTTCTCCTCCTGCCCACATTCCAGCCTTGGCCGCCAGTTAATAGCTGAAGAATCAATAACATCTAGCTTCCAAAGATCTAGCCTATTCTATAGTGAAGTCCACATTTGCTTCATTGTCTGCAGCTTTAACCATAGTAGATAGCACCAGAGTCTTACATAAGCTAAATACTATTTCATCTTACTTTAACTGTATTGGTTCAGATTTGGGTCACATTGTGCCGAGAGGAAAAACTAATCACAACAGATATTGTTTGATCACAATAGATATTGAAGATTGAGTTTGTTCATGTTGCTAATCTTTTCAAGTCTGAAGGGGCACACTTTTGGTTACTTAAAAGGCAATGCTTCATCTTCTTCCTTTGTTCTTTAGTATTTAACATTCAAATTGCTTTACTAGAAACTCCCTAGAATGGAAGGGGAATTAATACTTTCATTTCACAAATTTCATTTATTTCACATTTCACCTAAAATCACCTAAAAATTTCACCTAAAAATTCCCCTAGAAGCATTACTGAAATCTTTTTGTCTGTAACCAAAATATACCTACTTAACTTAAATACTATTAGAAATACTGTCAGATCATTATAGGATCATTACAGGAGAGTGGTCAACGAAGTGTTTCTTGCAGATATACATTTGGGATTTTATGCAAGCTCTTTGCTCATCATTTTTGCTAGGATTTCATAATTAGATCAGCATTGAAATATGACAATTTCTACACACACAACCCACTTTTATTGACAAAGGCATGGAAATACTACTACTGCATGGTATTATTTTTTAATTTCCTTTTTTTCAGTTTCAAGGAAAGGGTCACACAGCAAGTAAGTATTTGAGTCTAAATTTGAACTCGGGAAGATTAGTCTTCCTGACTCCAAAGCTGGCACTCTATCCACTGTGCCACCTAGCTGCCTAACTTGGGTCCTAGATGAATTGCTTCCAAAAGATTCCTATGTCCAGAAAAATGCTCTTTAAAAATAAGCTCATCATCCAAAATTTTGTACAGAATAATCCATTTGTCTACTTTTTGAAGGGCTAAAAGAAGCAGTAAATGACTGCAAAGTCCTCTTATCCCTTGAAAGAAAAGAACAATATAAAGTGAAATATATCTATAAGGATCATAATCACTAGTCAATATCAATAAACATTTATTAAAATCAGTTGTCCTTTGGGCCAACAAAATAGACATTTGTTTGCCTCACCTCATTTGCATCTGGATATTTGCTGTCATTATCACGCTTAAGTTTTTAAAAGGATGTCTTTTTTTCAAAAGGGAAACTTGGAGCAATTTTTAGAACTACATTTCCTCATATCTTCTTGAAATGTTAAAAAGATTTTCTGTTCTTTACAACATGTAAGTTGTATATCCAGTGCAACATGAAGTTTTACTCATGTACTCAGAAAGTGCTTTATTCAATGCTTTTACTCTATGCATGATCCCTTATTCTGATGAATTATAGTCCTGTCCATTATTCTTATTTCTTATCCTCCTCCCTGTAGACACCTCCTCTGGACGATCCTACAACTCATAATCACAATTTGGGTTCTCTAAGAGACAACTATCTAAGATTCAAGGTACTATGCGAGTCTGCATTCCTAAAATTGCATCTCACAAGATCCAACCAGTGCAATGACCTTAACTCTGGTCATCCAGATGACATACTTAGCTGAAAGCAAAAGCATTTACTGAAATGGCATAGTAAAGACAGAAACTGCAAAACAGCACCCTCCCTCCTCAAATCTGGGGCGTATTTTCCCACAAACATATATAGCATCTTAAGGGCAACATGACAAGCAAGATAGAATATTAGACATTTTCTCCAGTCCACACAACCTCTCCAAAATAGTAATTAGATGCAAGAGAGAAAGCAACTTTCACTATCTCCACAGTCCAGACCACAAAAAAAAAAAAAACCACAAGGTGACAAATCAATGAACTAACAGCAAAGAAGGCAGACCCATAACATGTTCACTCAATACTCCCTCCCCAACTGGACATTATACTCTGCAACTGTGCGATATGACCTTGCAACAGAACTCAATGGGAGCATGGTAGAAAAAGTTTGGGGGAAAATAAGTCAGGAGTTCGTCCTGGAGAGGAAAAATATGCATAGTTGCTGAGTCCCCTCTTTAAATTGAAAGTTCTTGGAGGAACCAGTCAATAAGAGGAAGAGACTGCAGAGACAAAGGATACTTCTAATGTGAGAAGTAGTAGATTGAGGGATAGGGTGAGCTTCCTAAATCGAAGAGGTTTCTGTGGCATGGTAGACAGCCTTCAGGAAACGAGTCAGCAATGCCATCTGGAGAACTCTGACCTCCTTTTTTCTTGCACTATAGAAAACCAAAAGCCACAAGATTATTCTAGTTGGGACAGAAGCATGACGGTACTCTTTACTACAACAGCTCTCTGCCACAGTATTGAGCAACAGAGAGAACTGGGGAAAATACCAGTATGTCTATGGGACTCTACCACACTTGAAGCAAAGGGAACTGGCATTCAGTTGAGGACAGTTCTATCTCACCAGAAGTCACTTGGAGCAAAGACAGAAGCCAAGAAAGAAACCAAGTGTGGTAAAACATTAATTGTCCAGCACTAGAAGAAGCCAAGACATCATTGTGCTTTTTTAAAATATTCTATTTTATTTTATTTTCGAGTCCATACTCTTTCATCCAAACTCATCCTCCCCAATAATTGAGAAAGAAAAAAACAAACAAAACTCATTACAAACCTGTAAAATCTTGCAAAACAAACCCTTACATTGTTCATGTATCATACGTATATTATATGTGTAATATATGCATGGCTACACATGATGTACATGTGTGAGCGTATGTATATTGTGTGTGCATATACACATGTATATGTGTGTTGTGTGTACATATGCACGTACATATACATACATGTATGCATGTGTGTGTTATATGTATACATATGATTAAATCTGTGCTCTGAATCCATTACCTCTCTATCAGGAGGTGAGTAGTATATTTCATCATGAGTCCTCTAAGACAATGGTTTCTCATTTACATTGATCAGAGTTCTTTCAAATAGCTTTAAAATGTTTTTAAAGTCTTAAAAATATTGCTGTTACTGAAAAAAAATTTTCCTACTTTCACTTACTTCACTTTGTAATAGTCCACACGTTTTTCCCAGGTTTCTCTAAAAACATCCTTTTCACTACTGCTTATAACACAATAATATTCTATCACTTTCATATGCCCTAACTTGTTCAATCATTCTCCAATTGATGGGCACCTCTTTGATTTCCACCACAAAAAGAGCTGTTATAAACATATGGAAGATCCTGTTCATCTTTCTTTGATCTCTTTGGGGGTATAGACATTGTAGTAACATTGCTGAGTCAAAGGATATGTATAGTTTCATAGTTTGGGGACATAATTCAAAATTATTTTCCAGAATGGCTGGACCAGT